GGGTGAACAAACGATCCATATCCTCACATCGGGTCAGCTTCTAGTCATACTTCACCTTATGCAACAAGTCTTCCCCATCAATAGAGAGAGGAATTTCATCAAGCATGAAATAATCTTTAGAGATTTTAACAAAAACTTTGGCGAAGGTAAGACGTGTTCTGTTGGCGGTGAGGGAGTCCACATATAAGGGAATGCCAATGTAGCTAGAAATTTTGGAGATACCCTTAAGTGTCCATAAGGCTAAAGGGAGGTCCAAAATCTTGATGCAGAGGGGAATAGAGGCAAATTCATCATGTTTTTGCTTAAATTCAAGGGACCATTTCTGTAGAACAAAAGGTTTGCCAAGTAGAAACCAAGGGCCACCTGACTACACTATATCATAGTCTTCAGAGGAGGTGAATTCCAACAGGAAGAAACCATCTACTAAGGAGAGAAGATAAAGCTCACCTTTTAACTTCCATACCTTCTTCATAGCTGTCAAAAGTCTTTCATAATAAGGTCTTTGTCAAATGGAGTAACGCACTAAAGACAACGACCAAAGAGCAGCACCTTCAAACAAATCATCTTCCACGAAGGCAAGCTTCTAGCTTGGGAGAACAAAATCCATGGGCAAATCAATAGATTTGGGGGAGGGAGAAGAGAGGTTGTTAGAGTGAGTGGGAGAATGAGGAGTAGTAAGCGGCCCCAGGATGGAAGAGATAGAAAGAGGGGGGGGGGGGGGGGACAATTTGGATTTCGGGTTTAACCTTAGAAGACAAAAACTGGGAGGGAATTAGGAATATTTATTTAGGAAAAGAGGATTGATTTGATTGGGAGAGAATTAGAAAGGTTTATTTAGAAAAAGAGAGGTGATTTGATTGAGAGGAAATTAGGAAGGTTTATTTAGGGAAAGAGCGATGATTTGATTGGGAGTTTTTTTTTCAAAATGGATGATGATTTTGGAACAGGATTGAAAGTTTTTATTACTTTCAATTTTTTTTTGCAAGGAAGTTGTTTTCACATCAACTTTAAAAAAATTACTTTTATACAACAACTTTACAATCACATTTATAAAAGTTGAATAATCCCAAATAGACCCTTAAACTCACCAGTTGAATTCCCATTTCTACTTGGGATCATCTCTTCTAAATCACATATATTACTTTCATTTAGTGCATTTTTTTCAAAATATATGATCACTATTACGTGCTGGAACATTCGTGGCAGTAGAGAAATATAAAGTTTAGTGTTCTAGTTTTGAACAAAGATCTATCACACAGACAAATAAGAGAGAATACTGCAAGAGCCACAAGAGACACTAAGTTTTTTTATGTTAAAATTTTTTGAAAAGGAGAAAAACCACTAGACTTGGCCTAGTTCAAATGATTATTCTAGACTTTGTAGTCGATTACAAATGATGCACTTCCTCGGGGAAAGGCTTTAATTCAATGAAATAAATATATATCATACCAAGCACAGTTTATGGTGGGAATTGGAAGAATCCGTTGAGATGAGTGTTGTTTTTAAAATAACGTTGCTCAGTTTGCTTGGTTGGTAGGGTCGTAGCTAGGCAATGGAGGTTAGAGGAACTGTAGTTGGTGATAGTGGGTAGAGGGACAATTGTCTGGTAATAGAGGTTAGAGAAACCATAGTCAAAGGGTGATTGAGGTCAAAAGATTGTAGTTAGCGGGCGACGCAAGTGAGAGGAACCGTAGTCGATGGGTGATCGAGATCTGAGGGACCATAGTTGGCGGGCGACCTAATTCAGAGGGACCATAGTTGGTGCGCAACGAAGGTCAGAGGGCTATAATCGGTGAGTAATGGAGGTCGGGGGGACTGTAGTTGACGTTTGACGATGGCCAAAGGAACCATAGTCGGGGGATGGTGGTTAGAGAGACCGTTGTTGAGTGACAAAGGTCGGAGAGATCATAGCCAGCGAGTTACAGAGGTCAGATAACCATACTCGATGGGTGATGGAGTTCAACGTAACCATAGTTGGCAGGAAGTAAAGGAGGTAGTAGTCGGAGGGCGACAGAGGTCGGAGAGCCCGTATTCGGCGGGCGACGATGGTATGTGTACCGTAGTTTATGGGCGACAGTAGTTGGAGGAAAAATCCTAAAATATCTTAATTTTTATTGAAAGATCTAGCATACACACCGATAAAATAAAAGTGAGAAGAGATAAAAGAGTTTTTAGGTGAAAACTCAAAAATTAAAAAAGGTCAAAAGATCTAACTCAGTTAAAATAATTCTAACATTGTATGCCAGTGGTTACAAATATGCTCTTCCCTATAATTGGAGAAATCATTAATACAATGTAGCATATATTGAATGTAGATGGTTGATTTCATAATAGAAATTCTAAGACCCTTAAGATATTGGAGCTATCTTCTAGAGATCATTTGATATTCATTGGGTCATTCTTCTTTGAGGAGAGTAGACTTGAGACTAAGAAGTACAACATAAATATATGTATTGATGTCATGAGTATGAGTTAGAATCGATTGCATGCATCAACTTTATAGGCAATGATTTGCACCTATGTTGGTAGTGTCAGTGAGGGACAAAGTCAATAAACGTTAGTTTTGGTGTCAACTAAATGCATCAGTCTTATAATCAATGGCATGTTTCAGCATTATTGGCAATGACAAGTAAGGAGATCCCTAGGCATCAACATGATGTTTATGGCATATAGGATCACACTTTAAGCAAATCCGAACAACATTTTCATAATGAAAATCATATTAGCCTACTTCATTATGAAGTAAGACACATTATATTCGACTACAAATCTAGGAGATCCACAACTAGAATCTTATTTTTCAAGTAGACATATAAGCTCAAGAGTATTGTGCAATCCATGACCTAATACTCCACATGAAAACCTTTGACTCCAATAGAAAAGCGGCAAATCATTGAGCACACTTTATATTAGAATGGTGTAGAAGGCTTCTTAGAGGGATTAAAGTTAGAAGATCATTTTTTTAAATGAAATGCCAGCCATTGATATATCAGGGACACCAAATCAAATAGTCTCGTAATCCTCACAAGACTAAAGAGAAAAATAAGGAAAAAAATCTTAATTGAGCGTTAGGAGATACAAGTTAACTTTCATATCCCAAAGGTTTTCTGAGGGTCGCAAGAAGTGATTCATAAAAATGACTCTAGCTCACAAGATAACCAACAACAAGAGTCAAACTCCAATCCTTGCCTCCACAACAATTTTTACTATAGGAGAAAAAGATCTCATCCACAATATTTTTTATGTAAGTCAACTCCAAAATAATTTTTATTTAAGTTAGATCCATATAATTTTTTATGTAATTCAGATCAAAGCTTGTAGATATAGTTTATTGTTTGGTGAGGAAGCTTTTCCAATTAAGTTGAGCAGAAGCATTCAATGAATGACAATGGAGGTGATGCTTGACAATGCAAGTAGAGGAAGAGCCTAGCATACAGAGTGACACATTCTAGGGCTGAAATTGGTGGCATTCAATGTGGATAACACTATCGAGATAGAAATATTTTGGATGTTGGAAAGTAACAACAATAAGAGATTTAAGCGGAATTTGAAGGATTAATTATTCTGTGCAGATGTCAAACATCATTCAGAGACCAACCAGAATACATCACATCACACCTGTGCTCGGTACCGCGATTCGGTACTGCTCAGTACCGCTCGATACCGCAGCTCGATATCTCTGACGTGATGTATTCTTGTTGGTCTCCAGATGCCGTTTTGCGTCCGATCTCCGCACAGAATAATTTATCGATTTCTAGAAGCATACTCTTTATCAAAGGTAGAAGAGGTGGTGGAGATGAGAGAGGCATACCCTTCGGCCTAAATCATAGATAAGGGAAGGGACAGCATGTCGTCAAACTAGGAGACACAATAGAGTAGAGGAAGCATGTAGAAAACAGTGAAAAACTGACAAGCCACCACAAGAGAGAAGAAATAACCCAAACAAAGCGCCCGCACAATGTCTCATTCTCAGCTATAACAGAAATATGTTTATAAACTGTAGAGCATCAATTGGATAAAATAAACAAACCTGCAATTTAATGTACTCCCCTCAAAGATTCTGCCTTGATCACATGGAGATCAAATCATGCGGAGTAGAAAAAGCTATTGACGCAAGCAAACAAAATACTTGGGTGAGATACAAGACACATCGATGATATTCTCACCACAAGTTGTTATCGTTACCTGTCTAAAGAATTGCATATAAGCTCCTTAGTTACGGGCTACAATGCTATAAGATCATACAACAACAATAAAAACAACAACAACAACAAGCTTTTGTCCCACTACGCGGGGTTGATAACATGAATCATTTTTCACCATTGTGTCCTGTTAAAATTCAAATTCTCATTTAAATCTAATAAAGAAACATCATTTCTAATATTTTCTAACCAAGTCTTTTTAGGTCTACCTCTACCTATCTTAACATAAGTCAAATCTAATACCTCAACTTTCCTAACCGGGTCATCAGAAGGCCTCCGTTTAATGTGAACAAATCATCTAAGGCGACTCTCTCTAATCTTATATTCCACTAGAGCTACTCCAACCTTTTCACGAATATGCTCATTTCATATCTTATCTCTAAGGGTAAAACCACTCATCCACCTAAGCATCTTCATCTCTGCAACACTTAACTTAGTATTATGCTTCTCTTTTAATGGCCAACATTCAACACCATAAAGCATTGCAGGTCTCACCACCATCTTATAGAATTTTCCCTTGAGGGGGCACTTTTCTATCGCACAACAAGCCAGATGCATTCCTCTGCTTCAACCATCCAACTTGAATTCTGCTGATAATATCCCCATCTATTTGACCATCACTCTGAACAATGGATCGAAAATACAATGCTATAAGATCATATTAAAAAAAAAAAAACATACAGGAACTATTGAGGCTAAGAGCTGTACTGAAGTAAATTTTTTTTGAATGATGCGTGATAAATCTCAAAACATATTACTCAAAATTATAATCATAACATAAAAATACAATCATCTACATTAAACAATAGGCCACAAATACTTTCACTTGAAATAACCAATTTGGTTTTCCTGCAACTTTTGAAGAGAGTGATCATATATGTTGCAGAAATTCAAAATATCATTGAATTTACAGTAAAAATCACTTTTCTACAAGCCTGAAAGCTGATGTTTGCACATGTCATCAGCAAACTCAGCAACAGCATAAGACAAGGGAAAGGCTATGAGGAAACTGTGTATTGTGTACAACTCTAATATGCAGTTATAATATGATTTAAAGGAAAAAATGCTATTACTACAGACAACAACTATCCATTTGGACAGCTTATAAAGCTTGCAATCGGCCTAAACTCCGATTACAGCTGGAAAGAATAAGGCTACTATACACTCAGGTGAAAGAACAACCAAAAAAACAAGGAAGATTCTTTTATTAAAAGAATTCTATGGTCTATTCTGCTGTTGATGGATTGACAAAGTTCTCGTTGCAACTTCAGAAACCAGGGGCTCATTTATATTACCAAACTTTTCAAGCTCCCTTGCAATCTGGATATCACTGGGAATGAAGAATTCTGTAAAAGCTTTCGTTGCAAATCGTGGAATCATGCCGGCGATTAGAATGGCAAGCAAGCAGAACCAGAATACCCAGGTGCCCATTACGTGGAATATTGCCCTGAAAATATGAAAGCAAAATATTGAGTGTAATTGTTTGTTGTCTTAGACCTTTGCAATAAAATGCCATTTTACATTTTGCAACCACCACTAATATATATGGTTCACACTTGGAAAGGGTATGGAATACATGGTTGAAGATTGAACTTCCAAAGAAGATTTAACAATCCAAACGCTGCGTGCAGATTGGAAGTGCACGATAAAGATAGCAATCTTGATCACAAAAAATGCAAGAAAAAAAAGGTGGATAATTTTTGTGTTTTAGCTCTTTCATGTGATCATAAAAAAAAGAGAGTAAATATCATTTGGGTCCCTCAAATTCGAACTGCGCTTCAGATGGGTCCATGATTTAAATCCATTACTTCAATCCCTAACTTTTAAGATTACACTATCGTACGTCAAGTCGATTTCCACTCTTCGAAGAGGTCTATTTTTGCTGATGGCATTAAATGATAAGTTAATTTAGTTGATGTTCCACTTTTCATTCTTTTAGTTCATTAAGACCTTTTAGTTAATTTTGAAATAAACCAAACTAGTCAAATTCTGAGCAAGAACCGTTTACATCACAAGCAAGCTCGCTTGATCGCCGCCCACCACCGCCGCTACCCTCCGGCTACCACCCCTTACCGGAAACTACCTCCACCATCACCGCCGGCCGCCCTCACCCCTGGCCACCCCCACCACCATTCACTAGCACCACCGACCGCCATCACCGCCGGCCGCCTCCACTATCGGCCACCACCACTACCGGCCATTCCCACCGCTAGGCACTACCACCACCACCGCCGGTCACCACCATCTCCAGCCACCACCGACGACGATCAGAACTGCCGGCCACCACCAACACCTCCCTCAACGGCGGACATCATTTTTGAACTTTACACTACATTCATTACTACAAACAAAAAAAGTCATTCACTTGCATTTACTTTATATTCATCCAAACAACTTCAAAGTATTCATTTACACTATATTGTTTTTACAGTACATCCCTTTTACAATGCATTTCCTTTTTTAGCCAACCAAACAACCCCTAAATTTGAATGAATTAATTTCTTATAGGTAAAATACCATCATGAAAAGTTTTCTTCTATTCTAGAACTATATTATTTGTGAAAGAGGTCAAACCAATCACTCCATTGACATCGGATAAGGGGAGAACAAGGAATATAAGAGGCAGACAAAGAGTGAGAGATCCTAACATTCTTATGATTAGTTGTAGTGGACTAGTGGGGTTACAAATTTTTTCAATGAGGTTGGCCAATTAATTCCACCAAGGCTAAGGAAAAAGACTAAGAAGAATGAGAGAGGTGGAAGTTGCAAGAGAGTTCCTTAGTCCAACACCATCTAATTCAGAAGAGTCATCCTCAAACTCATAAGTTTAAGACACATGTATAACTAACAAGTGATTTGATAATAACAAATCTTGTGTATTGTTATCTAATGATTTTTATAGCTAAATTATGGTGATGATGACTAATTTCACTAGGCTTGCTTGGAGCCTCTGCAGCTTAAAGAAGAACTCGAGATGATTAAAAAAAAAAAATTCTAGACTTCAAGTGTAAAATAAAGATTCTAATAATTGTTTGATCGATTTTATAATTTACCTTGAATGTCTCAAGATTGATGAATATTTAAAATATGACAAAACTATTTATATTTAAATAATTATTTGATTATGTAAAGAAACTTGAAAAAAATAAATATTTTTAAAGTATTAGGGCTTAATCACTTTCAAAAAATATGTTTTAGGGCCTAACTAGAAGTCTAGAACTTTATTAAACAGTAAATTATTTGATGATATATTGCCATATTGGGATTCTCAACTAGTTCTCTGGTTATTGCTACATTTACAACTTAAAACGAAACATTTCATCACAAGAAGTTAAAAATTTTGAATAAAATTTTATTTTCTTGTGGGTCACCATTAAGTGGTTTATAGCTTTTCGTGAACTTTAATGGCTTGTCATTAACCTCTTTTCATATTAGAGGATGTGCCCATGTCCACAATTAAAATGAGGTTGATTTTCCCACATGATGCAAGAAAGTACAACAATTTCTCCATCAACTTATAAGCAAAGAAATAATTAGGTAGTAGAATCCTAAGTAAAGACTGGTTAGGTGTGGAAAAAAGCTGGTTTGGTCTTAACCACATAAATATCCTTTTATTCTTATTGTTATATATCTTACATTTACTTATCGCATATCTAATTCCTTAGTTATATGTTTCCATGCTTATGGGATGATTTATACGTTTTTCCTATGCTAAAGTAGTTGAGTATATATTTAATCTTTCCAAAGTACAAATCTAATTATATAACCATCATATCATAATTGTGTGGGCACTTGCTTTAGAACCTTAGTGTTTAATTGAATCAATATTTCACAAATTTGTATAGTATTACCCTATTTCTATTGAGCTTGCTTGTTTCAGCACTTTTGCATAATCGTTTAGCACCATCGTATGTTTATGTTGCTACACTTACAGGTTGTTTTGCTTAATTATAAGCTTTTTCTGGTTATTTATTTGCGTGTCTTATTATTTATATTGTGCTTAATATTGATTGCTCATACATAGTTCACCTTCATACATATTATAATACTTTATGTTTAGTTTGACTTGATACATTCCATTGCGCATAATATATTAATTACTTATTTTGTTGTGCATTACATCACCAGTGCTCATTGTGTGTGATTAGATAGGTTGTGTTTTAGAAGGAAATTCTAAAATGCAAAAGAGTGAAACCCAATTCAACTTAAATAAAAGCAGTTGAGTATAGGAACTCACCAAAAGAAATGAAATCACCAGAGATCGTTTGCATTATAAGCAAGAGATGAGAGGCGGTTTATGCATAAGAAGAATAAAATAGGGCAAATGAAGAGATAATATACAGGGGTACTTTGTCTTTTTATGCTCAATTGACATATCTATTAATGAAAGGGTCTAAAAGAAGAGGGTTGGTTTTTGCATAAAAGAATAAACAATGAAAATGGAGGAAAAAAGTATAGGGGTATTTTTGTCATGCTCAGTTGATGATTATATTAATGAAAGGGCCTATGTGTAATATGACCTACACATCAATGACCAAATAAAGATGAAGTTTTAAAATCATAGACCGATATGAAGCTTGACCCAAATCTAAGAGACCGTGGTGATATTAAAACAAAAAAATATGAAGAATATCTATTTGTGTTCAAAGTAAATAGGCTTGCTTCTCTAATTGTACTCTTTATATTGTATGGTCGGATTTCTCCTTCTCTAATTCTACTCTTTATATTGTGTGGTTGGATTTCTCCTTAAACACTTTTCTATTAAATGTATGTACTTTCAGTGTATTGGACCCAAAATTTATGTACGCTTTATATTGTATGGTTGGATTTCTCTTCCAAAATTCCTCTATGTATGTACTTTCAGTGTATATGAAGAATCTCTATTTGGTTTAATCTAACTTTAAATTGGGTAGGGCTATCTCAGCTAAATGCACAAAATATATAGGTTCTACTAAATTTCTCAATATGCTTGCACATGACACACAAATAATCTCCAAAAGTAACTTCAGATAACTAAAGAAAAAGAACATACCAAAATCCTGGTAGGATGGGCAATGCATCTATGATGATGACGCAAATGACGGTAGCAACTATGCAGCCCCATATGGACGCATGTACTATCCAATTCCACCTGAAAATATCCATTCCTAAGTGAAGATTTACCATGATAACAACTGCAAGGGTCCAGAGGTCACCAATGCTGGATCCATCAACTGTACTGTGTCTATAAGCCAGATATGGTATGAAAAATATAGCTAAGCTTTGCCAAACAGAATCCATGATGGTTAAAATAAACAGTTTTAGGTTGTAACGCTCTTCTCTTTGCCCAGACCCATAGAGCTGAGGGTACTTCAGAAGTGTTTTCCTGTTCAAATCCTTGTCTAGAATACCTACTACTATGGTTGGAAGAGCTGTGTAAATAACTGAGTACAAGACACTGCTCCATTCACTGATCGCAGTTGTCAAACTGAAAGCTGTATATAACACATACCTGTAGAAAGAAGCGTGAGAGTATAATTAGCAACCACTTGTAGTGTTGGATAAGAAGGCATGAAAGCAGAAAGATCATCAAATGGCAACAAAAAGAAATGAGCTTCCCTTCTACAAACCAATGGGTTGCTACGATTGTTATACTACCATCATTGAAAGAGCAGTATCTATGAAAAAATTGATATTTTGTATTAAAAAATGGTGGTCATCAAACGATCTGTTCTCTGAACTGAAGTCAATATAGTTAAATCGCTTCTCACTATCCAAAAGAAGAAACTTATTTCCATTTTATGCGTCATTTGGAATGGCTTTTTTCTTGCTTTTTAAAATAACTTTGTACTACAAAAATTTCAAATTGAATTTGAAAATTTTGTATTAGAAAGCTGTTTTAAAAAGCAGTACTGTTTTAAAAAGCAGTACAAAAGTTGTCCCAAATGAAACCTTAAATTGGGTACTAAATTGCTCTTTTCATCTGAGATGCCACTATAGTCGAGCATTGTATCTAACTTTCCATCCAGTTCCTTTTCCCAGAGAATACCACCTCCATTAGTTATACTCACTTGAAATAGAGGAAAACCTCTTGCCTCCCATGCCAGGCTATTCTATCAGTTATCAACAAGTGCGACAGTCACTGCTGTCCTCTTTGAAAGCCTCTGGCTTTAAACTATCGCATCTAGCCTTGCAATGTATGTTGCCGATCACCCAACATAGAAATTCCTCTGTGTGACACAAGCCAAGAGAAAAACCAACACCTGATCACTCTAACAACTATCTCTTTCATCTCTACGTTCCTTTATATCTAACTGGACAAAGGGCAAGACTGAATGATGCCTTGCAATCGAGTTATTCTCTTTTTATAGAGCAACATTTGATGGTAGATATGAAGGATTTTAAGGGAAAAGAATCGTGAGTTTGACCATTACCAATCTTAAAATCAAAATAAAATCTTATCAGAGTAATCGAAGGAAATTAGACTCTACATGTAAAATCTCCCACTTGGAGATTGGATTTTTTATGTATTGCCATGAGACTATCATCTTTATGTGGCAACCCTCTTCTCGGTTATCAATGAAAAATTTGCAGTATATCTGTCCATTAGTGATAAGCCTATCATCGTTGGCCATCATCCTTACCTTTTCATCTTGTTACCCCTTGATCCAGAAATATTGTATGCCTTGCAATGCCCATTTGCTCTTTGGAGGCTCTCCCTTCACAAAACTTTTATCCTTCATTATACCTCTAGAATCATCAACAATAGATTTAATGGTTGCTCGCACAATTTTGATTTTTGTTTTCATACACGTATGACCATGATTACTTCAATGTGCGGTCACAATAACATCCTTAATGACCTCTTAAGTATCAATATAGAAGATTAAGACGTAATCTTCTTCACCAAATTGTCTAATGATACTAAGTTTCTCTTATTACAGCAAGTAGCATCCTCAAATTATGAAGTTTACATAGCGGTTGTTTGTTCGAAAGAAATAACAGTGTATTGTATTCATTTTCCTTGCTTTCTAACAATTTTGGAGTATGGATTGAAGAAAATAAATATAAATTAAAATTTTTAGGGATTTAAAATACCTCAAAATCCTTGTTTTCAAAATCACCCAAATTAGGTAATTTCCAAAAGCGGTCGTGTGGCTTCTTACGATTCGTGCCAGCTATCGCCCACCACTAGCCCCTGACCACTATAGCCTGCCATTGTAATACCCCAACCCCCCAGACGATTAACTCATTTCAATGCATTTATAATGTATCGTAACAAAGACAAAAGTATTTAAATACATTCAATTTGCATCCAACCAAACTTCTCATGCATTTCTAAAATAGATACATTCCAATTAATCTGTATTTCTAAAATTGCATGTATTTTAAAAACAACAAACCAAATAGTCCAACAGTCTCATTCTTGTCTTGGTTTTTGCATATAACAACACATATAACATTAAGAGTTCACTCTCAAAATCTCCTACAACAAATTAGATATAAACACTATATGCAGAGTGAAAAGACACTTGAGTTTAAGAACAAATACTCAAGATTATTTGCACTAAGAACCGATGCATCATAGATCGCTCTACTTGTACTATTCATAGATTTCTCTACCTAATTTGAATTTGTACAAAATTCCTTTATATGACCAGTCTTATTATATTTTTTATATGACCAGTCTTATTACATTACAAGCATATTCCTCTACAATCTTTTAATTAACACCTCTGCTAAGATTTGGATCTACCTTCGTCCTCCATTGTTGCCTCTTCCTATGCCTCTTCCTTTGCTCTCAAGATTCAAAGTAATAGAAGAATGATCTTCTCCTAATTCTCTTCTCTTGGTGACCTCACCTAAAATCAAAGTCATGGACTTCATTGAACTTCAGCTTCATAGGCCTGCAAGAATTGCCAACAACTATCGAAATTCCTATCTATCTTCTTAGAAGTGATGATAAAAAGCTCAATGCATGAACTTTGTCATTCAATTAGATATCAGTCGTTGAATTGGCAAGAAAAATGGAAAAGGTCTTCGTAACATTATGAGATCTACCTATGTCTAAAACTATACAAAGAGATAAGTATTCACTAGTCTAGAAAAAATACAGTATACAAATATTTGATCACTTGATGTTTTATCTCACATTTATCACTCTAGTATTCTTTCCTCTCTCTCTCTCTTATTCCCTCTTCAAATATGAGTATGATTTCTCAACCAAATATGCGCATCTAGAGTCAACAGAGATAGAGGATAACCAATTTTCTCTTCAATTTTCTCTTAATTCAGACTGCCACATCGATCACCAATCCTCGTGACAACCACCAATTTTCCCTTTTGAGGTATTTGGCTTCAAATTGTCACCTTCCACCCTTAAACGCACATTAGTAACCACCAAACGTAGAAATCCCTCCATATGACACCAGTTAAGAAAATCACCAACTTTCGATCACCACTAGAAACCTTTCAAGCCTTCATGTGGCTTTACACTTAGATGAATGAATGAGAAGAATGAGTGATGTCTCAAATCCATTGACTTCTTCTTCTATTAGAGAGCAACATCTAGTAGTAAGTATGATGGAATAGGAGTGAATAGGACCTTGAGTTTGGCAGCCACTAATCATAAATAAAAATAAAATCAAAATCTTATCCAATACTTCAAGAATAAAATGATTGAGGAAAATTAAACTCCATACCTAACATAGAGACCATCATTAACTAAGATAATGTTTTAGTTGATCTCTTTTTGATATTTGAAAGTAATTTATTAAGCAACATAACCTTACTCTTTTCAAAATAGAATGCTTACTACAGACAACTAATATCACTTAATATCTTGGGAAGCTAATCCCACGCTACAATATTAGCAACTAGGGAATGATTGGAAACATATAATCATAAGAAACGTCAATAGGTAAAAATGGAGAGCAAAACAACAATTATTCAGGCAAACGGATCCAGATTGTGGATACTGATCAAGGAGTTGCTTCACATTCCAACTAAAATTGCTAAAATAATGCAGGAAGAACCGAAAGCAAATTATGATAAATAGAATACTAAACTTCCAAATAAAAAATGTAATGAACAACATTTAGAATGAGCTTATTAAATAATAGCATCTCATCCACTTACCAGAAAAGTACGAACACCATAATAGAATTTCTGTAAAAGTTGTATAATATCATATATGCCATTCTTTGGTAGTTCCAGTGACCATGAACCAATAAAAGGGGTACCAAGAATCTGAACTGTCCAATTGCGAAATCCGAGGCCATAACAGCTTGCCTCCCTTCTCTGCCGCTAATGCCTATCCCAACGTTAGCCTTCTGGATCATTGAAACATCATTCGCACCTGAATAGCATATGAAGAGAGAGTTTATCCCAGAATGAAAAAACATGTTGAAACATGTATTTCTGAAAGAGAATTAACTTCAAGATTACCATCTCCTATAGCAAGAGTCATATCATCTGTTCTGCTCTTGATTAGAACAACTATCCCAGCCTTCTGCAATGGAGCTACTCGGCAGCACAGAACAACACTACATGATGTTGCTACTTCGAACAGCTGGAACATCCACGGATGGAGAAGTGAGTACACTATAATCCTGAAAAAAGAAAAATGAAAGCTTTTTGACATCATACCTCTTCTTCTAACTCAGTCTCAAGGATGTAGACAAGGCTGGTACCATCAATTATCAAAGCAAGAGGGGACTTTACAGCATCAGCTCCTGCAATACTGTTTTCTGCTGCTGGAGAATTTCCTGCTACTAATTTAGTGATGGCAAGGGCATCTGCTAAACTCTTTTTACATGACTCCTTGGAATGGCTATTTATTATAATTTGGGTCATTTCTCCTGTTAAGAGGTTGGAAGAAAAGCCAATGGAAATTGCAGTTTCTTGCTTGTCCCCAGTCAAAAGCCAGACCTTGATCCCAGCTTTCCTCAAAGATTCAATGGCTTCAGGCACACCTTGCTGTAGCTTATCTTCGATTCCTGAGGCTCCCAGAATGCTAATGTTGTTCTCAATATTCATTGCAACTGCTTTTAATAAACTGCCCCTCCCAAACAATGCAGTGTTAGCTTTTTCATAGGAAGAATGCCACTCCTCAAACTCAACATTGCTCATCTCCCGCACACCAATGACTAAGGTTCTCAGACCCAATGTTGAGAAGGTGTGAAGGTGTGATTTGGTTGATTGAACTATGTCCACATTCAACATCTTGTCTACAACACCAAACATTGAACTGTCTGCACCTTTAATAAAAACCTTAACTGTCTTATCAGGAAAGCCCACTATAACTGACATCCTCTTACGATCACTATCAAATTCGTGAAGACCCAAAATATCAAACCTGCAGCCACCATAGTATTGGATTCAACAGAACTTAAATTAATGCAAAGTAAAGGCAGTAAGATATAATGCTAAAAGGTCGAAATTATAAAATGATTACATAACAATCAAAAAGGAACCATATATTCGAACTGCTACTTCTGCTAGTTATCAACCAAAGACTCCCACGTAAAAAAAAAGAGGAATTGCTAGTGTTCTCAAAAATGTCAAATAGTTCCTGAATGGAAACATTCTAAATAGTTCACAAACCATTTATGTGTGATCAATTTAGTCCCAAAGTATCACATTGCTCCCATTTTGTCTATCGACTATACAAATTGATATAAAATAGTCCATTATAAGAGTTATATAAAAGTAATCACAATTTAGTTTCTAGAGTATACAAAATTGATCCCAATTTAGCCCCAAAGGGACCATTTTGAAGAAATTTTGTATAGCCGTGAAACTCTAGGACTAAACTGACCATATATATCAATATTCAGGGGACTATTCCGAAATTCACCCTTGAATTAATTGCATTTATGATTAAACAAAAAATATTTGAAAATAAACCTCTTACAAAAAACAACAAATAAGAAACACGTCATATAGGGGGGGGGGGGGGTTGTTTAGTCCTTTTGAGTTAATTTTGTGTTTCCTTTAAGTAGATGTTTATATTAGGATTAGGGCATCATGTCATGTTTATTTGTTGAATTTGGTGTGGTAAGTTTTGGCATCTTGGTCTCTAACGACGACTAGAGATTTGAGAGAGAATTATCCTCCTCTCGAATTGAGGATCAATTGTACCTCGATATTTTCCTTCCGTTTGTTTCTATTATTGCAAGTATTCTCTCTATTTTACTTGATTTGTTTGGAGGATTGTGGTGAGATCGCTGAAATCTCAATATTGGTAAGAAACACTGTTGTTTACAAGTGTTTCCAATCAAATTGGTATCAGAGCCAATTTTTGGGCTGTTTTGGGCTATTTTTGGCAGTTTCCTACAACAGATTTTTGACTTTGAACCACTGATTTTGCTGTTTTTGTGGTCAAAATATGAATTTTTGAGTCTAACAAAGATCAGGGTATTGATGGAGGCCAAGAAGGTGGATGCTTTGGAAGAACGCTTGAGGGGGAGATGTGTCAAATCAAGGCGATGGTGGTAGATAGAATTTCCACCATGGAAGGAAAATTCTCAGATTTCCAAGAGATGAGGAAGAAGATATGGGATCTTCAAAATCAAACGGTGGCATCGGAAGCAAGAGGAAAATTGGTAAGGAGTACGAATTCCGAAATTCGTAAGGATGAGAATGATGTGGAGATTATAGAGGGAGAAGGGAGAAGACCCCATCTGGAACCTTCCCAGAGGGAGGAGAGAGGTGGAAGGTATGGGGAGAGTGTGGATATGAGGGTTATGAACAAAGAGGTGCTGATTGGGAAAGAAGGGTTTGGGAATGAACGTGGAAGAGAGGATCGAGACACTTGGGGAAGGGAAAATTATGGAGGAATTAAGGGAAATGGAGGGGATCCAAAGGTTAAGAAGATGAAGATGCCTATTTTTGAGGGAGAGAATGCACACTGGTGGATTTACAAGGTAGAGAGATATTTCGCCGTCAAAGGGTTGGCGGAGGTAGAGAGATTGATGGCAACCAGCTTATGTTTGGAAGGGGAAGGCGTTGGCTTGGTACCGGTGGACAGACATGAGGCGGCTCATATGGAGTTAGAGAGAGTTCAAATAGTACTTATTGGAACGTTTTCGAACCAGCAGGGGAGGAGACTTCTATGAGCAGTTCTTTGACCTGATACTGGAAGGCTCGGTGGAATAATACCACGAAAAATTTGAGTTCCTGACAAGACGACTGGATCGACTGATTGAGACTGTACTGGAGGAGAATTTCATGAAGGGGATCAAATCGGAGATCCGAGCAACAGTGAGAGTCATGAGGCCTTGTAACTTGAGCGAGACTATGAAACTAACTCAGCTGGTGGAGGATCAGAAGTACCAAGAGAGGAGAGCCAGAGGAGGCAGTTCAGAGGGGATCAGATTGGAGGAGGGTGGAGACATTCATATTTCAGTACAACCATTGATTCAAAAATTTAGTGAGGACTTTCAGCCACCTCAAGGATTTCCACCGCCTAGGGAGTAGGATCATGTTATCACCCTGAGGGAAGGGTATCACCCATCAGTGTCAGACCATATTGTTACTCTCAATTTCAAACTGATGAAATTGAGAAATTGATTAAAGAAATGCTAAAGGCAAGAAATATCAGGCCTAGTGTGAGCACTTTTTTTAGCCCAATATTATTAGCTAAGAAAAATGAAAGGAGTTGGAGGTCCTGCATGGACTATAAGTCTTTGAATAAGGAGATGGTGCCAGTTAAGTTTCGCATCCCGATCATAGATGAGCTGTATGAGACAATTATCTTTACAAAGATAAATTTGAAGTTCGGACACCATCAGATCATAATGAAAGGCGAGGATGTGTCAAAGACTGCTTTTAGAACGCATGAGGGAGGGACATTATGAGTTCTTAGTAATGTATGTTGGCCTCACTAATGCTCCAGCTACATTCCATTCCCTCATAAATAGGGTGTTCCAACCCTATCTCAAGAGATTTGTATTGTTTTCTTTGACTATATCCTGGTGTACAACAAGTCAGAGGAGGAGCATTAGGAGCACTTAAGGATAGTCCTAGAGGTATTACAGGAGCAGCAACTAATGGCCAATTTGAAGAAATATTATTTTGCACAGATCATTGTGGAGTACTTTAGACATGTAGTTTCTCAGGAGGGAGTGATCGCTGATCAGGTTAAGATCAAGGAAATGCTGAGATGGCCACTACCGAAAAATCTGAGAGAGCTGAGGGATTTTCTAAAGCTAGCAGGATACTACAGGCAATGTTTAAAATTGCGTAATCGGGTATAGAGGCGTTTTTCGTTCGTGAGGCGAGGCGTAAGCCTCAAGGCTTTTTGAGGCGTAAGCCTCAAAATTAAAAAATTGCGTAAACATAAAATGATAAATTTTGTATATACTAATGAGTAAATAATATATAAAACATAAAAATGTACAAGATATGAAGTGAAATCAAAATATCCCAATAATAAGACAACATGAAATATAGTCCAACTCAAACTCCATCTTTCCCAAATCGCAGTATTCTTTTCATTAACATATAATTCCAAAAATAAATAGCAATGACATATCACATAAGAACTCATAAGTCATTAGCACTGTCATCACCATGTTTAAAAATGTGCAATTAGGTATTGAAGCGTTTTTTTTTTTTTTGAAAGGCGAGGTATAAGCCTCAAGGCATTTTGAGGCGTGAGCCTTATAATAAATAATAAAATTGTGTTAAGTGTAAATAAATGTTAAAAGTAAATTTTTATATAATACTCAAATAATATGTTAAAAAACGGCGACGGGTTAGAGGTTAAGGAAGTTGAGAGGAAGTTGTTGCGACTAGGGGGTACACGAAGTGTGATTTGTTTGCGGCTTTACTTCAGGATTTATGTAAGTTTTAATATATATCGAGTGAGGCGTAAGCCTCACGCCAGTGAGGCGAGACGCATCTTAAGGCTGGCCTCAACCAAGTTGAGGTGCAAGCCTCATAAAAAAAACTTGAGGCGTAAGCCTCAAGGCGCTTTTCACTGGAATTGCGCAAAGGCGAGCCTCATATTGCACAATTTTAAACCATGACTACAGGAGGTTTGTGAGGGGCTATAACACCATTGCATGTCCACTGAAAGAACAACTGAAGAAGGATAGCTTCTTATTGGGGGAGGCCAACACAATAGTGTTTGAGAGATTGAAGATAGCCATGACCACTGTCGGTCTTGGCCTTGCTCGATTTCAGTAATATTTTTGTAGTAGAGATGGCCATATCAGTGTATGTCTTGGGAGCAGTACTCATGCAGAGTCACCGACCCATTGGTTACTTTTGCCAGGTATTGACAATTAGGGCTAGGGCTAGGCTAAAGTAAGTCTATGAGAGGGAGTTGATGGTGATTATGCTAGCCATCAAGAAGTGGGGACCTTACTTGTTGGGTCGATATTTCAATGTTAGGATGGATCAGCGGAGTCTAAAATTCTTATTGAAGCATAGGATAGTGACAGAGGAGCACTAGAGATGGTTGTCAAAGTTATTAGGATATAACTTTAAAATTCAGAAAAGGCCTGTGATAGAGAACAATGTGGCGGATGCCTTGTCCGGTTATATGGGGGAGCTATTGGAGATGGCAGTGTCGATATCCTTGATGCTAGATTGGGGAGCAATTAAGGAGGAGGGTGCACGGGATGAAGAGCTGGGAAGGATTAGGGCCGATTTATTGAAGAATGGGAGAAGGGGTGCAACCGAGTCAAGCTGACTTGCGAGCCAGTTTGGGCTTGACTCGTTAATAGGATTGACAAGTCGAGCGTGAACATGATTTCGAGCTTGACGGCTTAACAAGTTTGAGTTCAAACAACCCTCCGCTTGACTAGTGAGCTTGTCGAGCAGCTCGCAGAATTGCATTGCCTGCTAGAAAATGAAACTGTTGGGCTTGGGAGGGCGGGAAAATGGAATTCGGAGCCCGGGCGGGAAAACAAAACTCGGAGTTCCGAGCGGGACGCGACCTCGAGACGGGGCGGAGAACAAAACTCGGAGTTCCGAGCGGGACACGAGATGCGACCTCAAGACGGAGCGGACTGAGGACCACAAAACGGAATGAAACCTTGGGAAGTAACTGAAGCTTCAGAGAAAACCTCGGGACAAAACTGTAGCTTCGAGCTCAAGCTCGACCTCAGTATTTGGCAATCGAGCTCGACTCAAACACCCCTTGACTCGAGCTCGACTCAACTCATTTGCACCCCTAGATAGGAGTAGCCACCCTAGTTATTCTCTAACAGGGGAGAGGCTGCTGTATCAAGGAAGATTTGTGATGCCAAGGACCTCAGTTCATATTCCCCACCTACTCCAGGAGTTCCATGGGAGCATTGTCGGGAGTCATTCAGGGGTACAAAAGACATACAAGAGACTCGCCTCAGAATTGTATTAGAAGGGAATACACAAGAATTGTTGTGACATGAAAGGGATCCACTCAGTTCATATAAAAAAGGAGATAGGGAAGAAGATAATGAAAAATATTAATCAATACAAGAAAAAAAAAAAACCAAAGTTTAAACTTAGCTTTTTATATTGTTAAACATTAGATTTTGCGTACATGAGTCATGAGCCATGATTTGGATATGGGTTTGTTGGTTCCCATTCAAACTTTATCTACACCTAATCAAGATCTCTACCAACCAGGACTTGATCCATGTTCAAATTTATAAAAAGAGCTCTACCAACCAGGACTTGACAAATACAACAAAATTATAAAAAAGTACAACTTGACCCTTATGCATTTAAGGAAATATGGTTTACTTGCTGAAAACAATCAATTTTCTCACCAAGATATGCATATTTACCATATTTTTACCCTGTCCTTTGGATATCTCATATGTGATCTACAATGACCGCTCCATCAAGAACATTACTCGTACCATATAACGAACAGTGAACAAGGGGTGTCAAAATGAGTTCATGGTTCGAGTTTAGGTCCAACCCCAAATTGATCCAATCTATATCTAGTTGACCCCATCCAACCCGCTAGCAAACCTGATGATCTGAACTGGACCTAATAACCCATTTTGATTAATATCTATAATTTGCCAACTATAAAAATTAGTATGAGAGGATTATTTATTTATTTATTTTTTATTATTGCTCATTTAAGAAGGAAAAAAAAGTAATCCCATGCTGCCCAAATAAATCTACACTTTAAATGAGCTATTTATTCTTCTATTTAAAATTGTTATAAATATAAAACTAATTTTAATTGATTGGGCCATATGAATTATATTAGAAATAAAAATTGTATTTTTAAGAAGAAACATTTTCTTTCATGTGCAATTAATCTAAGGCTATTAAGTAGGTGGCCAAGCATAATTACATCCCATAAAAATCATGAGCATTAATAACATCTACCATTCATTAGCCCATCTACCAATCACACATGCATACATCTCTATCTCTCTGTTTTGCTGTACAAATCTAAATCATGTAGCAATTAAGAAACCCCATCATGATGACTTTACCTATGGTCACATCAGCCATGTTAATCATGACTCCAGCAGGAGAAATTCATGGCCTTTTTTTCTCACCAAACCCTCTTTTTATTTAATTTGCAAATATGTCACCGCTTCTCTCATCCCAATGCACTAATAATACTTAAAAGACCAGCCTCGTTTGCAATTCGTGGAATAGTCCAGGACAGCTTCAAACGTCTGTATATAACTTTTTTATTCTTCGGATATCAAGCTAAGCTCTTACAACTTTATTTATTTATTTATTTATTTGAGCAGGTTGAGTGAAAAATTTATTTTGTGCAGGGATCAGACCCTGAACATTATTTAGAAATTAATCAAAATGTGTCATCAACGGTATGAAGCTGCAGTACCGAACAGTATCGAGCTGTGGTACCGATCACACAGAATAATTGACTCAAACATAGGATCACATGAGAGACGAATAATCTCAATCGCCATGCCACAGCACGAGCCACACTTTATTAATTATTAATCATTGGTCCCCAATAACTATTTCTTAATGTCGTTTAGTTTGTTGTCTTTTAATTCAATTGTCTTAACAACTAAATATTTACGGCATGCACGAAATATTTTTTTCATTATCAGCGTTCTCTCCGTGTTTTAATGGACATAAATTATTTAATCGAAATTCGAATATTATATGCCATCCATAGCTGCTTTTTCTATTAAAAATCAACTTGGATTTGAACGCACAAAAGTTGGAATTATAGTGCTCATTAGTTGGAACAATTCAACAAAAGAACTTTTGAAATAAAAATTAGAAAAAAAAAAAGGTGGATAACGTCATACAGAATATGCAATTCAAGTTATGAAACATAAAGTACATAATTGAATTGAATTGGAAAAAATATTATATGCGGCGTCCGGATTTATTCGGAGACGAATCTTGATGCGGCACATCATCCAGGATCCGGTGCATCCGGGTGACGTGGCGCATCCGGATTCGACTCAGGACAGTCCGGACAACGCATGTTAATCTCTCAATTGGAAAAATTATTATGTGCGGCATCCGGATTTGTTCGGAGACGAATTCGGACGCGTCATATCATCCAGGGTCCGGTGCATCTGGGTGACATGGCGAGCCCGAATTCACCTCCGGACGATCCGGATGCCGCATATAATAAGCTCTCATTGAATTGAAGGAAATGAAGTAGGTGGTACCTCTGCTTTTGACCGAAGACATCAACAACAATGTGGCCGGAGGTGCGTTCGATGAGCATGAAGCCATAAGCGGCTGCGGCGTACAGTAAGGCTTGCTCGTCAGGCGATTCACCCTGATAGTCTATTAGCCGAACTGTAGGATCCTCTGTTTCAGACAAGATCGGTACAATGGTGTTGCAGGTGGCCAAAGCCAGGAAAAATTCTCGGGCTTTATCTCCTTCCTCTGTTCCCTCTCCGGTCCTCAATAATTTAAGGAGCTCAGGGTCAGTCTTAACGGTCATCTTTGGTCTCCAGATTTGCTCATCCACTGCTCAAAATAATAGAGGACTTTATTTAGCTTTCTCATGCGAGTGGTTGACCAAATGCTTGTGTTGGGTGCTTTTGTAATTGAAGGAAATGGTTTCGCAATGATGAAATTTAAGGATGGCTTAAATGCATATACTCCTTATCCCTAAGAACACGTGATGCCTCACACAAGTGGAATGACAATGTGCATACGGACAATGCTACGTACAAGCAATTCAACGCAAAATTGAAGATGCAAATGTGTGGCAGCTATTGTTACGGATCGATGAAGACTAATACTGTTAACAAATTTCAAGCTTTGGAAAAAAATATTTAGAATTAGCATATAAAATCACTGAATTTGACTTACCCACGACGGAGACGCCTTCTTCTACGACATCAGTTGCGGCGGCACCGCCGCTGTAGTTTACTCCGACCACGCTTGCGCAGCGGAACTCCATCTTGTTCTCTGTCAAAGTCCCTGTTTTGTCGGAAAAAACATACTTGATCTGCCCCAAATCCTCATTAATATTAAGAGCACGGCACTGAAACCTGTTTCCCCTTTCCTTGTCAAACAAGCTCTCATCCTGAATCATAAAAAAGGCCTGCCCCAATCTCACGAGCTCCATCGAAATGTAGAGCGCGATCGGAATCATGACCTGGAACAGAATCACCGACATGAAGAAAGTGAACACAACCTCCCATCCGATCCCGTAGTAATTGTACTTCCCTACTTCCCTGTCGGAGAAATCAGTCTTCCTGTAATACGTCAGGTCGTCAAGTTGGTCCCGGTGCCGGCCGAGCCAAGCACCGGCGAGCACCGTCACGATGGTGCACTCCACGAAGAGGGCCACGGCCAAGATTATAGTTTCTCTGTTCATGTGGGTCTCAAGTCGGCTGCGCTTCGATTGCGCGCCGGAGCTGTTGAGCATGACCTTCGTGTCCTTCCCGGTGTAGACGGCGACGCCGTCTACCCAAGTCGTGTTTTTGAGCTCGCAGCCGCGGAGGATGATGTTGGATGGGCCGAGGGAGACACGCTGCTTACTTCCATCGATTTCGACGTTGCCGTGGAAACCGTAGATATTGCGGTTGGGCTTCTCACAACGGATGATAGCTGTGAGGGTTTCCAGGGGTTTGGAGAGGGTCTCCTGCTTGGCGTAGCGGGTTTTAAGGTTGGATTCCCCGTCGAGATTGATAGTCTGCACGTAGGCGACGCCGGTTGGGTCGCTGGTGGCAAGGAGGACAAGGTCACAGGGGATAGTCTCGTTGGAATGGACGCGGATGATCTCTCCGACGCGGATGTCTTTCCATGGCTTTGGCTGGAAGTCTGAGGAAGAGGATAGAACAGAAGCAGAGCGGGAGTTTTCCGTGCGGTCCGAGCGGTGGCGGCGGTAGTCCTCGTAGGCATCCTTGACGGCGGTGACTCCGAGGACGAAGGCGAGGGGGAGGATTGAAGCGGCGGGTGTGAAGACGCCTAGTTGGGGTATTTGGTTGATGGCAGCGAGGATAAGGAAGTAGATGTAGGCAACGCGGTGGAACTGCTCGAAGAGGTTTTTGGGTAGAAAGGTTAGGACGGAGTATTTGGTGGTGCGGATGGAGTTGTTAGGATGCCGAACAGGGGAGTTGCTGCGGTCGGGGTCGTTTATGTACACTAGGCGGGCGTCGGCATCACTGATCTCTTTCTGCGAGGAGCTCATGTGGCCTGATTCCGACCGGCGGGAGCCGTACCGTGGCATCGGTGGCGGCTGCTGCTGCTTGGACACCGAGCGCGAAATGGTCTCGATAGAAAAAGAGGTTTTCGAGCTCGAACGCATCTCAGCGGAGAAGCCGACGTTCTCCACTGACAAGTTGCGGGAGTGAGGAGCCGCCGATTTCCTGCGGGAGGAGGAGGACGAGGAACGTGTGGCGGCGAGCGGCGGAAAAGTAATAGGTGCTGGGTCATCCGATGGCACCGGCGTACGCGGGGACGGAATCAGGAGAGGCCGGTCGGAGGCCATCGTCGGAGTAAGAGGGAAGAGAGCTTATCAGAAGCTGAGATAGCTGGGGGCATCAAGTTTTCTGCAAAGACGGAAGCTTTAGGAATCGAGGAGGGGTTTGGTTGTGCATAGATTACTGAGGGGTAGAGGATGGAAAAAATAATTCTCAAAGTCTATAGTTGAAGTTCTCGGATGTTCGTAATGTGGAAGGAGGGAAATTTGGAGGAATGGAATGGAGGTCAAATACTCAAATGGAAGAAGAAAAGGACTGGAAGCTGCTTCTAGAGAGGTTTCTCCGTTTCTATAAGGAGTTTGGGTCCAACTTCTCAATTTGTGGCTGCTTATTAGTCTTTAACCAATGTCACATTTAGTTTATTATTATTATTAATAAAGGATAGGGTTTTAAAAATAAATTTATGAAATAGTTAAAAAGTTAAAAAATAAACTTAATATAAAATATATAGTTTGATTGAAAAATATAATAATAATTAATAAACTGTCAAAAAAACTCATTGTGAATAATTCTTATTTAGCTTGCTAAGAAACTAGCATTTAATTTATAGTAGCAAATTGATATTAATTAGTTATTTGCAATTTGTTTTTTTAATGAGTCAAGATATATATAATTAATAGATAAATAAAACAATTCTATTTTATTTGGCTATTTATTTATTTATTTATTTTTATTTGCTCAAAATAAGCTAGTGTTGTGATTGAATTCTAACTTGGTGAATACTAAAACAACATTCTTGAACAATTTTAAATATAAGTAGAACATTTACACATGAAAATTCAGACAAGCTAAATACAAAACATATATGAACTTTACACATGCACACCCCTAGCCTATATGTAAATCTTAGCGGGTTAAGCAGATCAAGCAAGTTCAATGAAAAGCCTAAGGACAATCAAGAGAGTCCTAAGAATCATTTGTGAAATGGGGTGGGCTCAGTCTCAAGATTACTCAACCAATGAGTGAACTCACCCCAACATATTTAACTAAGAGGGTGTTGGTGGAATTTTGAAAACAGGTTTTGAAAATATTGATTTTCTTTGGGAATTTTGGAGTTTAAAAAAAAATTCTAATTCTAAAATTGAATCGTCCCGTTAGAAAAAGTACATCACCTCGAAAGATGAAAATAAAATTTCATAACGGTGTTCAAATCTAGAATTATGAATCTCATCTTGAATATTGTGACCGGATGCTAAAGAGAACCTCATATGGCTCCGAGGAGCCAGGATGAGGTTCAACTAAATATCCAGCTACAATAATCAAGAAGTGTGATCATTAAGTTCATATCCAGAGCTTTATCGAGGAAAGATATATCTCCCCAAATGGAGAAAATTCCATTCAATGATAATTCTTTGAATATGATAATAACGATCATCTTTACTCTTTCCCAAAGGAATCCAACATAAATTTTGAAAAATCATTTTTTTTTTAAAATCAGGTGAGTGTGTGGTTCTAAATCTCTTACGAGCGCAAGCCCTCGTAGTTAATTACATCGTAGGGAGACAGAGTCCCCTACGAAAACTCTCGATTAAAATAGTGACAAAATTTCGTTAGATTTTCTATGAGTGATATCAAAAAGAGGTAAATTTTAGAAACTCAAAGGTGAATGGATCAAAATTGAGCAGTTATTATCAAAATCAGGGAAGAAAAGTATGGGACACTTTGAGATTCTAGAACCCTCCGGAAGTGTCCCAACTTAATCTAAGTATTGGGCTTTACATTTATGGATTGAAATGAAATTTAGTTAGAGTTGAGCATTTTATTAGAAATTTGGGATTATATTCCCGGAGGTTGGGGTCTTATAATTAAAGATCTGCCCCGTATCCTAAATATAATTTGGACACTGGACCATAGTAGTCCGAACCTAAGTAATGCAGTGCAGGGTCTGGACTTACCCCAGCCTGGATGGGGGAGCCAGCTAACCACCTAGTCGATTTAAAATAAATGAGTCTAATTTTTTATGAAAGAGTGATATGGACGTTTCATTTGAGGTTTTGGAGAGCGGCCGACATCTAGAGATTTTTCTAATTGACCCCTTTTGACTTATGTTGGGTTCAAAATGCTAAAAACTAATGCAATTAAAATTTTGACTCTTTTAATTTATTTCTAATGCAATGCATGCTAGTCAACAACTTCAAATCATGAATGCTTGAAAGTTAAAAATAGGCTTAAAAAATAATTTTCTTAGAAGACTAGACTTCCCCATGTCCGACAGCTCGTCCCCATAGGTCAGACTATCCGAACTCTACCCGCAGGCAGGAAATGGTCTAAAGTAATGAGAGAAGTAGTGCAGAAATATGCATGTGACCCTGGGGTCGATCCCTAGCTAATTCGCTAGATTCATTATCTTTCTATGTTATTTAGACTCACTAAATTTTAAATTTTAAAATTATGAGTATAAAACTTTCACACCCTCACGAGTCTTACGTATCCAGGTGAAAGCAAAAACACAAATGCCAAAAAACTAGAAAAAGTAGATAATTCTATATGTAATTGTTTCATCACATCAAATATAAATGAATTAATTAATAAATGTCCATAGGCAAAGTTGTCTTGCTTATTACAAATCAGGGTCTTGCAGAAAGTAAAGTGGCTGGGCACCACTGACAACAACCCGGATTCTAAACCTAGTAGATACGTAAGTGGTTTTGAATGGAATACTTTCTGTCTTCAAATCTTTAATCTCGGTCTCCTCCAAACTCCTTGGATTCTTCGTAGTATGCTACCCAAATGGATAAGATGGCACTTCCTTTGAGGGGAAGGCCACTCTTTTCTCTTTGGGCGGGGAAGAAGTGATCCAAATTTGGATCTCCAAATAAAAAAGGGCTACTCCCCCAAGGGGTGTCCTTTTCTCTTTGGAGTCCAAGCTTTGGACCTATATATCCCAACTCAAAATTTCACTTTCACAGCACTTTACATTTACACAAATTACATTTATATGAAAATGAAAAAATTCTAGACTCTCCTGCAGGGTTATCCTAAGCAGTTAATAAATCAAAAAAATATTTATTCCCAAGCAGTTATATATGAATGTGTAGAAAAGGAAATAAACACACTGGCCACTCTCTTTTTATTACTTTGGGGGGCTTTAGCAGCTGAAGCACCTGTACAAGCACAATTATAATTGATTTTTTTATTGATTTAGCCCCCTTTTATTACCATGTATGAGCGTGGTCACCTGTATAAAACTATGTGAATATTCAGATCGTTCCTATCCTAAGGGTAATCTAGTAGCCAAACACATCAATCATCCACAGAGTACAGTAAAAAATAAGCAGACACAGCAAGGCAATTTCATTCACAACATGTAGTAAAATCACGAAAAAATTCGACACACAGCAGTAAAGTAAACATCGGACTAACCTAGATCTAGAGTTGGTTGTCTTAGTAAACCATCTAAAGTGTGTGTAAAAGGTCGTGTGGCTGTGGTAGATCCTAAGTTGGGTGATTAGTTAGAGTTGTTTAATATTTGGGTTTGTTAAGACTTAAAGGGAGATTTAAGTCAGAGTTTAAATATTGATATCTTCAAGAATTTATTTAAATATATTTTAAGGGTTAATTGATTACTACCTTTGTTTCACACCGAGGCAGTGAAGTTTATTTCACCTTCCTTGGGGCTAAGCCAATAGCCTCATAGGCCTGGGTTACCTAGCAGTAATCGGGATTGATTAAGTTAATTTAAATTGGTTGAAATTAAGAGGAGTGGATTAATACTAAGGATAGTTGATTACTGATTTTAGAAGATTGGTTGACAATTTTATTAACCAACTTAGAAAATTCTTGAGTTTTAAAAGAATTAATGGGTTTTAAGAGATTATATATATATGTAACCAAGTGGTCAAAAGTTAATTTTTCAAATTAGAGTTAATCTTAAAGGTTTCCAATTTTTAATAAATACTAGACCTTGTTATGAGTTGTTAGACTGGTAGCACACTCAATTCAGAGTTTTCTATGAAATATTATGATTTTTAGAAGTTTTGACCCGTTTTTTACCTCAGTTGACCAAAATGTTGACTTTTTACTTTGACCAGATTTTGGAGGTTTGAAATTTTAAAAAAATACTAAATTTTAATTAGAGTGATTAGCCACTGAGTTTGGTTGATTTGGAATTTTCTATAATTAGTTATTAATTTTATAAATTTGGGTATTTATCGAATTTTCTAATTACCTTAATTAGAGAGCCTATTTTGTAATTTTGACTTAAATGAATCCTAGATCTCTTGGAATCAACCTCAAAGATTAGAAATGATCTAAGGGGAGATCAGCAAGTATTTAATTATTTTTGGAGTTTTTTTTATTATTTTTTATTAATTAAACATTGATTTAGATTAAAATTAAATTAAGGTGGATTTTAATGTCAAATTAAAGGGGTTTAAATTTCTACAGATTAGGGAATTAATTAGGGTCATTTATAGGTATTTTAAAGAATTTTAAAGATTAATAGGAATTTTTAGTAAATCAATTAGGCTTTAGGCTAATTAGAGGGAAGGAATATTTTGGCTCCTATTTGGTGAACCAAATGGGCATCAAATTTGATGGGCTTTGGACCATGGGATCACCTGATCTTAAGGCCTAAACACACCAAATTTGAGCCTAAATTGAATTCTCTAAGATGGCTAACAAAGCCACCCAAGGTGATCCCTAAGTCACCTTAAACAGATCCTAGGAAGCTATCCTAAGGTTGGATTGGGGCAAAATCACTGGCCCTAAACTCCCTATGCTACACATCATCAGTACATTCAAAATCAAATCCTAAATCTCATTGGATAGGTCATGATTCCAATTTGGATTTAAGGATCAACCCATGACCCTCAAATCAAAATTGGCATGCTAATTCCCTTAGACACTTCAAACAGGGGAGAAAAAATTTGTGCATGTCAGGGACATGCCCAAATTCATTCTCCCAAAATTCCAAACCCTGGTGGATCCATTTTAAACAATAAATTCAATAATTAACAAAACACTAATATTGAAATTAGACTTCTTACAGATGCAATCAGAGCCTGGAATTATAGGGATTTTGTAGGTCTCACTGAGACCTTTCCAATGAACCTAAGAACACATAATTTGGCCAAGTGTGGAGGGAGATATCAATTTTTGAAGTTTCCTTGATTTTCTGTAAAATTAAATCCGTTAATTACCCAGTCAGCCGGTGCTTTACACGCGGTGCGCCACGATTGACTTGGCAATCATTGGCGACTGACTAGGTAACGGTTGAATTAACCGTATTCGTTGGATGGACGGTCGGACGGCCACGATTAAACAGCCTTTGGGACTGCTGGATCTAATCTGCGCCGTTGATTGAAATTAATGGCCAGGATTTTATATTCAACCTCCCGCAGAAACTCGAAGCCGTAAAGCTTCTCTGGCGTGATTCGAGCGATCC